TTAACATTCAAAACACAAGTCAAAAAAAAGTGACCCAAAGACTCAAGTTTAGCCTAGCAAATTTTAAATACATAAGAAACACAATGACATTGAATTCTGCCAAATTATACATGAATGCCATGATCATCTCACATCTTACATACTGTCTCACAAGCTGGGGGCAAAATAACAGCTCCACACTGAAGCCACTAGCAACCCTGTACAAACAAACCCTCAAAGTACTGGACCAGAAACCTAACCGCTCCCATTACTGTACCATCCTCAACAAGCATAACATCCTGAGTTGGGAAGATTTAATAAAGTATAGGAACATCGTTCTGGTGTACGAAATCCTGCACAATACAGCCCCTCCACCTCTTAACTCATTGGTTACTCAACGTAACAACACCAGACTGACCACTAGAAGCTGTGACAGTTCATCGATGGGGACTGTCCACAACACTATAAATAAATAAACTAAACTAAACTAAACCACAGAAATAGCAAAGAATCCGGTATTAAAATGAATTTTGATGAATTCTTTGTATTTTATTTAATCTTTTAATTGCACGTTCTTACTTCCTATGTTAACACAAATATTTTATTTTGTTAATCTTTTGTTGTATTTCCTTCTGAAATGGAACAATTATCATGAAACACAATCCCCGCTGTAAATAAAGTATTTCTGATTCTGATGAGAGGTAAATAAGTTGTTCCAATTTTGAAAAAGGTAAGAGAGGATGCTGTGTGAGTTTTGAGGTGAAATGGACCAAAAATAAAATAATTGGTGCAACAGATTGCTGCTGCCGAGGCGTAATAAGTTAAAATACTAGTTTTGAAAAGAATAACAGCAAGAGAGCAGGAATAATTCTCTCAGGTCTCACTCTTGCTTCCCTCAGGGGTAGAAAAAAGAAAAATGACTACATTTTAAGCAGCAATTTGCATTCAACATCCAGATGATTTTGCTTCTGTTGAGGTTTTTTGATTGTTCTTCATATTGAAGCAGTGTGAATCACAGATGTGGAGAGGATTGTGGGTCACAGAAGAGAAAAGGCTCTACATGGATTTTCAAAACCTCAATTTCACATCCAAAAACAAACATAACATCCAGCTGGAGGAGAAAAGCCCACAACCCTGACTGTTTGCCATTACTTCCAGCGACAAAATAAACAAGGGCAAGATGGTGAATCTGAGATGGAGCAGAAGTGGGCAGGTGTTGTTCCTCAGATGAAATAGACACATGATGTTGTTTTTCCTTTTCCTTTCATCTGCCTACCGACCCAAGTGTTTTCGCTCACTATTTTCTATCTAGGTCTGAATTGCCGCCCACATCTCTGTATCTTTTAGCAATTCAAATCTGGTGATGTGCTCTTTGACAGATGTTTGCCTGATTGGAAAAGAAACGGAGCATCAGGAGAGTGTTGTAACACCATTTACAGATGTAAAAAGTCTTAATTTAGCACATTTATTCAATTTAAATGTGAATGTTGGGTTAAATGCTTCAAGCTAATTGTTCTGCAACTTCTGTGTTGACTTTAAACTTATAAGGACAAATACAATTTAAAAAAGGCTGCAGCGTATCATCCACTCTGCTGAGAAGGTTATTGGCTGCAATCTGCAAAGCCCTCCCACCCTGGACACATTCTGGCAAGAGGCTTCAGGACCTTTTCTGTCCGACTATTCTGTTTTTTGTATATTTATATTTGGTTTGAATATTTCTCTATTTTTATTTCCCATGTTAAAAGTTTGTATTATAATCCTACATTCCTTTTAGTTTTTTTCTTACTGTGTTTTATTTATGCACCATACACACCAGAGTCAGTTGCTCGTATGTGTAGATCAACTTGGCAAGAACACCTCTTTCTGATTCTGATCAAATCCAGACACGCTGACTGCTCTTTTAACAATGCATTGGTAAATGATGTTAGTTTTCCAATGAAAGCCTTACAGTCACTGGCTTTTATTTCACAGGATTTCAAAATGTTAGTTTCCCCTGATAACAATACTCTGCCAATGTATTTAATACAATACATTTTCTTTTTGACTATTTCTCCTTTCACAGATAAGTGCTTCTGTCTATAGTAATCCAGCTTTGTTGATGTCGCACTTTAAAAACAAGATAGCTTTCTACATATTTTCCTCCATAAATATTGTATCAAACTGCAGTTTCCCCTCTCGTTTAGTATTCCTCCTCACCATGTGCCTGAGGTCAGGCGGTAGTTTCTGGATCCTTTCGAACTCCTTGATCTTTTCGGGGTCCAGGTCCTCCTGCAGCTCCCAGGTGGCCTCCTCGTACGAGAGGCCGCACCACTTCACCAGGTAGTGGGTCACCTCCTACGATAACACACGGGAAAACATGCCACAGGAATAAGAGTGCACCCCCACACTGAGGACCTTCAGTGGTGACCATTTACAATCCAGACAAACGCTGCTGTGTGTGTGTGTGCGTGTGTGTGTGTGTGTGTGTGTGTGTGTGTGTGTGTGTGTGTGTGTGTGTGTGTGTGTG